ATTTTTTTTTTTTTTTGAATTTCAACCGAAATTAGAACTAGATGCTCGGTCAATGAATGTTTAATATTTCCTATCTGAAACGGGCAAACTTAAAAAACTATATATTTACTTCTGTGCGGTGAACCTATACGGATGTGAAATGGGGATATTGTTGGCAGAAACAGAGGAGGATCTAAGCGTTTGAGAACAAATGCATGAGAAAAATCCTTGGAATCTTCTACTGGGAACATAAAACTAATGCTTTGGTGCAGAAAAGGGTTGAAAGTTTTGTGGACCATCAGGAAACTCTTCTCGCCACTGTCAAACGGAGAAAAATGGCGTGGTTTGGACAGGTTTACAAGACACGACAGCCTGTTCAAGACCATCATGCAAGGCACCGTTGAAGGTGGACGTAGAAGAGGGTGCCAACGCAAAAACCGGTAGGATAATTTCAAAGGACACGTATGATTATACCAAAATTGCTTATGGCTGCCGTTGATAGACAGTTGTGGAGGAGATTCAATATGGCTTCTGCATTTGGATCCCTCGCCCTCACAGATTAATAAAGTCAAGAGGATGCTGTTGATGATGATGATGCTGCTGCTGATGATGATGCTGCTGCTGCTGCTGATTATGATGATGATGATGATGATGGACCGCTATATATCAGTCCTCCTATATGGCAGTAAATACTGGGAAATTTCCTCACAGATGAAGAGAAGATGATTCGACAGAGATATGGTTCTACAGAAGGATGCTGAGAATACCATGGATGGATCTTGTGAACAAAGAGTAAAGGTTAAATAAATTGGAAAGGAAAAGATACCTGTAATTAGACGCAGAAAGAGTCAGTTGATATATCTGGGACACACAGTGAGGAAAGAGAGCTTGGGGAATTTGACATTCACGGGACTTTTTTTTTTTATTGGTCTATTTTTTTACGGGTTATCAACAATTTGCTGCTTAATTAAGGCCAGAAAATATTTTTTTTGATTGTAAGAATTTTTTGGTAAAATAATATTTTACTGACTACAAATCTTATTAATTAACCTATAGCTGTGTGTGGAGTCGTACCATTCCCAAGAGTGTTCGCACGCAAGGGAATATAAAGGAACCCAATTCCCAATTCTGAGCCGTCATCCATTACCCCTCCCGCACATCCAAGTTTACAGAACCTGATATTTCCAAGCGGTTACACATCTAGGTACAGCCCGTTGATTAACTTTGGTGACCGTAGGAGAACCGGTGTTATAACATGATACGGCCGTAAGGCAATTGAAGGCAAGAAGAACAGGTGGATAAATAGGGTAACTTACCTAACTAGTATGCATAAATAGCAAGCAGAACAACGACTGAGAAGGCGATTATGAGGGCATGGCTGCAAATGATAGGAAGTTAAGGAAAGCCATCAGCGAAGGGACACGGCACAGAAAACAAGATCTAGTTACGTGCTTATATACAGGGTAGTCCAAAAGTAAGTGGATAGTAAATGATTACATTTATTTTGAGATTACATATACATACAATTATATTTACTAACACAATAATTTCATTGACAATTAAATATTGTGAACAATAATACAAATGCCCTTAAATTTTATTGTGAACAATAATAGAAAAGCCCTTAAATTTTGTTGTGAACAATAATACAAAAAGATATTAAATTTTATTTGTGAACGATAATAAAAAAATCCCTTAAATTTTGTTATTAACAATAATACAAAAGCCCTTAAATTTTGTTGTGAACAATAATACAAAAGCCCTTAAATTTTGTTGTGAACAATAATACAAAAGCCCTTAAATTTTATTGTGAACAATAATACAAAATCCCTTAAATTTTGTTGTGAACAATAATACAAAAGCCCTTAAATTTTATTGTGAACAATAATACAAAAGCCCTTAAATTTTGTTGTGAACAATACTACAAAAGCCCTTAAATTTTGTTGTGAACAATAATACAAAAGCCCTTAAATTTCATTGTGAACAATAATACAAAAGCCCTTAAATTTTGTTGTGAACAATAATACAAAAGCCCTTAAATTTTATCTACGCCAGTGCTCAAACTGTTTTCCATCACAATTTACACAGCTTTGAAATCTACCTCTAACCCTTCGACAAACTTTTCTGCACAAGTCTTTTTGGGTATTAATTTCTTGAAATGCATCGCTTATGTAATTTTTCAAATCACCGACACTTCTTGGTTTTCGACTATAAACTTTGTCCTTGAGTACTCCCCCAAAGAAGAAATCCATCGAGGTCAAGTCTGGTGAACTGGTCGGCCAATCAATTGGACCTCTTCGTCCAATCCATTTCTCAGGAAATGTTTCAAGATAGTCAGTTGTAATAATTCATAAACCTATTCCACATACAGTCCACCTACTTTTACACCACTCTGTATAGTGAAGTGCATCTAACTTATTCGTAATTCTACTTAGGACCCTTCTCACTACATACAAACACTCCCTCTCCCTCTCTCTCTCTCTCTCTCTCTATTACGTATGTACACACTTACATAAACATATACAATGATTAACAACTCGTTTCCATGACTAGCAACGCGCACACCATTCTACCGGGGTGGCTAGCTAATTCCTGTTGCAGGGTCACAAGTGTATCCTGCAATTAGGCTGAACCAACCCCTAGTTACAGCTTCTGGATGAGAGCGGATAATCTGGCCTGATCTCTGACTGAACAAGGCTGGTACATTCAAACACTCGGTCACGATGACTTGTGACCTAGTGCTAGCACACCCACTGATGGCTTCCAAACAGTTTCACCAAAGAGATTTCTCTCAAAACGCTTGCATCAGCCCATAGTATGCTTTTCAAGCCCTTCCAAACGGAAGCTTCTCGGTGACATCGTCCCCCTCAGGACGATATTATCAAGAATTCAACTCCAAGACTAATCATCGATGTGATTCGAACCCGAGTTTCATGGTCGGAATTCTAACTTACTAAACACTTACCAACGCGCCCAACAAGGCCAGTAAACCCCAGGATATAAACATTCTGATCAGTCGCTATATTTTTTATATTTCTAAGACGATTTTAGACTGGACTTTTTTTTTACATTGAGATCATTAAGAATTGGACAAAGTCCGACAATTTATTAAAGACATATATTTTTTTTTTATGTTTAACATTCTTTTTATAGATACAAGTATTTAAGTAAATGCTCTGTTTATAATAAACAGTATGACATTCAGGCCGGTAAATGTTATTTCATACTGTTTATTATAAACAGAGCATTTACTTAAATACTTGTATCTATAAAAATAAAAAAATGACTTTTAATAAATTGTCGGACTTTGTCCAATTCTTAATGTATGACGTCATTTGTTTACATTTGATACGCCAGAGCAGTTATGAATGTACGAGATTCATGGAAGATTGAAGTTTATAAGCAGTAAATTCGATCTTGCCTACCTATCTTGTGGCCGAGTCGGTTAAGGCACGTTAGCGTAAATGATGGTTCCGTATAGGATACAGGTTCGAATCCTGTCAAAGGACGAATATTTTCTATGAAAATTTCTCGGACATTCATTATGTTAAACATAAAAAAAATGTCTATATTACATATTTCTGCGGATTATTGAAAATTATACGGCATTTTTTATCCACTACGCGCCATCAAGCAGCGTTCCGTCCTGGGTATGACGATAAAGTACATCCGCGTCCTACATAAGACGATGGACTGCAAGTCCTCTGAACGGGAGGTTTTGAGGAGCGTGGATAAACCACTTCATTTCTGGTGTTTCCAGGTTCACCCTGAACCGGGTTGGTAGCACCTGTTGGAGTACCCAGCTATGGGCAAATGGTTAACCCCCAACCCCCACCCCGCAAGCTGGGGTCAGAACGTGTAAAAATAGGTTTTAATACCAGCAAAACTTTTTTGTAAAAAATTATTACCAGTAATACATTTTTGAAGAATAAATATTACCAGCAATACATTCTTACCAACAATATTTTTTTGGTAAAAAATATTACCAAAATAACTTTTTGAAAAAAAAAATATTACCAGAAAGTACCACAAAAAAATCTTGTCGGTATTAAATAACCTGAAAAGGTTGATATGCCGTGAAACAAAACAAACCAAACCAAACTAAACCAGATAGATTGATAGATAGATAGATAGATAGATAGATAGATAGATAGATAGATAGATAGATTAAAAAATATTACCAGCAATAAAAATCTTGTTGCATTAAAAACCCATTGATATACCATAAAACAAATCAACTAAGCCAATATATATATGAGATAACAATAGATAGATAAATATGAATAGATAGATGATTAAAAAAAACAAATCATTCAAATAACCCATTGATAAGCTAAGCCAATATATACTGAGATAGATAGATAGATAGATAGATAGATAGATAGATAGATAGATAGATAGATAAAATATAAAAAAATATTACCAGCAATAAAAAACTTGTCGGCATTAAATAACCCATTGATATACCGTAAAACAAATCAAACTAAACCAATATATACTGAGATAGATAGATAGATAGATAGATAGATAGATAGATAGATAGATAGATAGATAGATAGATAGATAGATAGATAGATTAAAAAATATTACCAGCAATAAAAATCTTGTCGGCATTAAATAACCCATTGATATACCGTAAAACAAATCAAACTAAACCAATATATACTGAGATAGATAGATAGATAGATAGATAGATAGATAGATATACCGTATAAACAAATCAAACCAAACAAATATATACTGAGATAGATAGATAGATAGATAGATAGATAGATAGATAGATAGATAGATAGATAAAAAATATTCCCAGCAATAAAAATCTTGTCGCCATTAAATTACTCAGTTAAGTTGATATACCGTAAAACAAACCAAACCATAGCAAGCAGCCTTTTCTTCCATCTTTTATCCATTTTTCTTATGTCAACTTAATGAAATATGTAACTATCTCAATGAGTAGGTAGTCCCTTTATTACTCATGACCGTTAAGTTAATTTTATTTGTGCGTAGTGTCGATAAGAACAATGTTTCTTTTTCATATTAAAACAATTTATAATTTGCATTTCACAACTTTAAAGTTAATCGCATTAAAAACGTTCGACGTTTAATCGAATCCTTTTAGAGTTGTGAGTGAAGAAACATTGAAATCCTATGAACGTCTGACATACTTTCTTGTTTATTATTAAAAAGCCGATAAAACTTTATGGAGATTTTTTTCGAATTATTTTCTTGCTGAAATGTTTCATTCTAACTTTGCCAAAAAGCAGCAGATCGGAAGAGTTTATTTATTTTATAAACTTACTTTAATATAGTGAAGTAAGAAAAACATTTTGAGGAAAGAAGACGAGGAAAATTTGACACTCATAGGATATATTGACGGAGTAGGGACATGGAAAGGGCAAGTAACATACCTAATAAATTCGGGTGAATGAATGGTAGATACGGAGGAAAAGGTTACGCTAGAAAGTCAACCGTTGTTCAGTGCTACAGGAAGCTATGGAGAGTCATGATCGCACACGACATGAAAGGAGACGGTATATGTTTATTCTGATATAGTAATAAGGAAAGTTTTTTTTCAGAAATTATTATGTAGCGTGTCCCTTAAGTACGTGGGTGATCATGGCTCTCCTAAACCTCCTATCATTTTTAGCTCTAAGAAATGTTTACCTATTTACTATCATTCGTGTTATCTGACCTGCCACCTATTAGGTTGGTGCAAAAATAATGATGTAATAATGTCGTTTTTTGACGTTAAAAAATACGTTAAAAAACGACATTATTACGTCATTATTTTTGCACCAACCTAATATTTACACAAGCTCGTTAGATATGTTTAAAAAAATGTTTACAAATGCATCTCTTTTCTACATTTTTTTTTAATTATGCCGTGTAACTTCAGTACGTGCCGTGATCGTGGATCACCACGATTTCCTATCGCTTTTTAGCTCTTAGTAATGTTTGTCTTTTCTCAGGCCCGTCCTATCCCACGTCTAAGATTTCTCTGCACAAACTCGCTGCTTCCAGCTGTCTCTCCAGGATACGATGGATAAATTGTCGTCTCAATTATGTAGAAATTAAAATAACACTAACGTCTCACTTTAACAGATATATCTACGATAATTATCCAAAAATATCACGAAATACTAAACAGTAAATTTATTCACTAAAATCGCCATTGGTTTCAAGCACTGCCTCCCGACGACTTCGGAATCTCTTGCATTTCTTCTAGACCGTCTCTTTGTTTAAGTTGGTGAATGCTGCCATAATCTTTGTCTTCAGTTCATCTTTGGCGTTACAAGGAGTTTTGTTGGTCTCTCGCTCAACTGTACCCCACACATAATAATCAATGGGGTTGCAGTCTGTTGAGTTAGGTGGCCACATGTAAAGGGTGATATGGCTGAAGAAATTGCCTGACAGCCATGACTGGGTTCACCTGCTTGTGTGGCATGGTGCCGAGTCCTGTTGCCAGACATAGGGTCTTCCAGCAGTCATTCTCTTGACCATGCCAGCACTATCTCTTCAAAGAACTTGATTTAGGCCTCCGTGTTGAGTCTGAGGTCCCGTGGGAAGATGAGTGGTATGAAAGGCCAAGGTGTTCCTGTATAATCAAAACAAATATCGAAAATAAATATACCAACAAGAGTTGACATGTAAAATTGTCCAACACAACTGTACGTGAAAAAAAGAGACAGCCACATATACATATATATATATGTGTATGTGTGTGTATGTGTGTGTGTGTGTGTGTGTGTGTGTGTGACAATGTATACGTTTTTGTAGTGATGTTTTCTATGCTTAGTTGATTCTGATACAAGTCCTCAGTGAAAGGCTAATTTAATCAAACGTACTATGTTCTAGGTTTGTTTATATTTTTCTCATTGTCTGTGTATACGTGGGATTTTGTGTATCTGAGGAAAGGCATATTCTACGCTGAGACAGTTTTGTGAGAATGCCATAATAAAATACGAAGCAGGTAGTTTTAAAAATACTAGGAAGGAAACAATCTATCTATCTATCTATCTATCTATCTATCTATCTATCTATCTATCTATCTTTGGGTACTTCGACGTGTAATCTTTAGCCTGCTAAATCAATTACGACTGAGTAGTGAGTTCAATTCGCACTGGGTTCTCCATTGCTTCGGCCTTGTGCCACATCTAAGCAATGCTTAATAAATCGCTATCTATCTCACATGTGTATATATATATATATCTGTATATATATATATATATATATATATATATATATATATAGTCTATCTTCTGTATATCCATTGTCCAGTTCTATCTATCTAATCTATCTATCTATCTATCTATCTATCTATCTATCTATCTATCTGTCAAAATGAAACTGGAGAAATGACATTTTAGACAGCAGATAGACAATGAATTTACGTTTATGAATCCATTTATCCTGAATATCCATCGTGGGTATCTTGTCAAAAAGATATGTCTCATAACAAGCATATCAGACTGATTGCTGAACGAGTGAGTAATCAAACTGATACCTTCATTATTTTCTCAAACTGTAACAACAGAAAGCTGTTAGCGCCATTGTCAGTATTGACACGGCCTCATCAAAACGAAACAGATCCTTCTTTTCCCTTCTCTCTCTCGTTTTTTTTTTTTTTTTTTTTTTTTTAGAATCATATCTGCAGTTAAGAAAAGAAAGGGCCAGAGAAGCCTAAGGTAAGTATTTCCTGAATTTTAGGGAAGTCCAAAATCGTGAGGCTTGGGTCTGTCGCAGCAAAAGATATATGATCCGTGATGTTACCCTCCTTCATCTTTTATATAAGCCAACTTCTAAGAAAGAAAATTAAGTAAAAATAAATGCACGCAATTTTCTTCTTTTTTCTTTCTTTTTCATTATGCCTTTTTCATCAAAAGTAATTTTCTTTTAAAGTTTTATTCTTTGATTTTTCTCATTTGTGACAGGGTTTGGGCTTTTTACTTGCGATCCCCCCCCACAAAAAAAAATGCATTCTTTTGTTTTTCGTTACTTTTGATCGATTTTATTTTGTATATTTTTTTTATTTTTAGCCAATTTTTAATTTTTTCTCCTTTTTTTTTCTTTCGTTTTATTTCTTTTTCCCACCGTCTTCTTCCTCTTCGTCATTCTCTTTACTCAAACTCACTTTGAAACTCGCCCCATTCCACACCTTTTATATTTGTCTTTAACTCGTTTTCTCCCTTATATTGATTTGTCTTTTCTCTTTTGCTCTCTCGCTTTCTCTCCTTCTCTCTCTCTCTCTCTTTGACACCCACCCACTTTATCCATTCGCTTTTCCTTTTTTTCCCTTTAAAAATTACCTATTTCTCCCTTCATATTCTTCTTTTTATTATTATTATTATTATTATTATTATTATTATTATTATTATTATTTAAGTTTCAACACTCTCCTCCCACCTACTTTTACTCACATCTTTTTTCTCTCCTCCCTCTACCGGACCCCTGTTCCTCTCCGTGTAATTACTCCACACGATCTCATTCAATTCAAAGCGTTGCTAGTTCCCAGCCGACTGTTATTTTTTTTATTTCAAGTAATCAAAACACAGCCTCGTTCTGATTTGAAACACCACACCGCGCCACAACACACTCATTTTCCCTCCCCTACCACTGACAAAAAGTCGCTCCTCCTTCTTCCCGTTCATGACAAAAAGCGAAGAGTTACAAAAATGAAAGAAGAAAAAATAATAATAATAATAATAATAATAATAATAATAATAATAATAATAATAATAATAATATTAACGTACATTTAGTTCAATAGAACTCAGTTTAAATGACAGCATTGGCTTTTGTACTGTCACCATTTAAATTTGGGATGCTTGAATATACGTGTGTGGATAAATGCCTCTTTTCCGTTTTGTCTCTATGTGAACATCTGAAAAAAAAAAAGAGAGAGAGTGTGCCTCTGTGTGTGTTTAACGTGTGCGTCCGTGTGTGTGCTTAACATGTTTGTGTATTTCTGTTTTCGCTTTAAACATCTGCTTATGACTTTTTTTTAATTCGACAGAAAGGAATGTGACAGAGGTACCCATATAAATTTTATCAGAAAGGTATTTCTTCAATAGTACTTGTAAACAGACTAACAAACACTCAAGATGAACGCGAACAGTCGGATTTTAAGAGAGGCTACTCAACAACAGACCATCTACAATCAATAGATCAAGTGATGGAAAAAAAACAAGAAGATAGCAAAGTATTTTTTATAGTTTTTGTTGACTATGAAAAGTCATTTGACTCGGTAGAACACTCAGAGTCAGTGGATTTAACAGGAATTATCATCTTCCATGCTAGTAGGGTGATTACTTCCCATCCTTTGTAAAAATATCTTGATTCCTATCCATTATTCATCCACGAATATTTAGCAATACGATAGCCTTCAGAACTTTTCAAAATGTCATTTGACTCAGTAAAACAAGTCTTTAACTCACTATAAAATATTAATCAAAAAATATATGAAAGTTATTACGAATAGATATGATAGCAAATGCAAAATGACCTAAAATAAGAACTGGAAAAGCGTCTTTTAAAGGAAAGCGTCTTTTCACCTGACCTGTTCAACCTATACAGGGAGGCAATTGTGAGAGAATTGGAAACGCTACGGGGGGATTTAGCATTGGCACATACAATCTTAACAACATAAGATACGCAGACGATACAGTACTGATAGCAGACACGGAAAAGAAATAACAAAATCTCCTACAGAAGGTAGCGACGGAGAGTGTGAAGAAGGGACTAAGCATAAACTACAAGAAAACAGAATGCATGGTCATCAGTAAAAGGATGAGCCCAAAATGCGATTTGCATGTCGGGAACACTAGAATCAAACAGACGCGAAAGTTTAAATATCTGGTAAACGTCCTGACAGAGGACGGTAAATGCGACACTGAGATCCGTAGAAGGAGGCTTATACTTAACATCAGGAAGAGGCAGCTGAATTTTCTGGGACACATAATGAGGAAGAAGGGCCTGGAGAATCTGATACTCACGGGTCTAATATAATAGAGACAAGGGTAAATAACGCAGGACATACCTAGCTGCCTTAAGCAAGTGAATGGGGAGGTGGCAGAGGGAAGGATCTTGAGAGCTGCAATGGATAGAGAGAGGTGGAGAGCCATGATCGTCTACGTCTTGAAAAGCCAGGCAAGAACATACGATTTCAGCTAAAATATTTACGGGCTGCATTTGAAAATATCTTCCGAAATATGAACAATGAGGTGAAGAAAGCAAGCATAACATAGAGAATATCATCTTCCATATGATGTCCGTTGATGACGTCGACGATCATGTCTCTCCCCAACTTCCTATCTTTTGTAGGATTTATCTTTTCATCATCCTTCTCGTTCCGTCATCCATACGCAAAATCTCTTGAGGTAGGTTATTCATGACTTTCCTCAGTTCCTCAAAATCTTCTGTGAGTGTAGTTATTCATCATCATCTGTCCAAGAAATTTTAACTGCCTCTTTCTGTTTCTAAGTATAAACGTCTTTCTGACTCCTTTTTCCTTAAAAACTGTCACGTGGATCTTTTACGGAATTCTTACTGTAGAGCCACAGTTCTGCTGACTCGGGTTTTCTCTACATCTGTAAGGAGACTGACCAGCATTCATTGTCATGTAGGAAGATTGATATTGCATAAGATTTCAGCACGGTTTTCCTAACTTTAAGAAATCATCTTTCGCTATTCCAACGCACTTTTAATTTTTTATGTCGCTTTTTCCGTCCACTGCTAACACTTCTCATATTTTTGTATTTGTTTGATACTGGTATCTCCAATTTGTAATGTGCATGCTGAACTGTCCCCTTTTGCTAACAACCTTATAACTAGCAGTAATAAATTAAGAAAAAAAATGGCGGCTAAAAATCTACTGCAACGTTCGTTCTTTATTTTGAATGTTTAATTCGTATTCAGGTAATAAAATTAACCGTAACCAGACAATACTTCGTTGAGAATTATAACTAACAAAAGCTTATTATTTATTTCGTTCCCTCGGACATCACATATTCCAGGGGAGGCCAAACTTGCTTAATATAAGAACAACTTACGATAAAGTTAAGATGTTTGACATCCACAAGACATAAAGAAAATTTACAGATACGTTTCTGTTCCTTACACATTCTGTTACTAATTTTTTTTATATAAGTATTAAGAAATACATGCATGCAATGTTTAGTCATGTATGCAGTTTTTAAACTGTTAACTTGTATTTGTTTCAGTAATTTCAAAGTACACAGACACACACACGGCTTGCCTACAAGCAGGATTGTTCATAACCATTTTCGGTTCTCATCTGTCGAGGTGCAGCTGAAATGCACCGAAACGAAGTTGCATCCTTGTAGTAAGTAAACTGATTTTATCTATATGATACAATTATAATAAATAATTATCGCTCTACTATCGGTATCGATCGAGCCCTCTTTTGAATTAATGCTGTGAACTTTAGAATTTATATATTACTTTCGTTCTCATTCCATGGGGTGTATATATATATATATTATATATATATATATATATATATATATATATATATATATATATAGTCTTAAGATGTGCTATATTTATGGGATAAAGTGCTTAATATCAGAGATATATAGCATTGTGTAAATATAAAAGTGAACATAAAGTTTAGAGGCGACAGTCTGTTTCATGCTAGATGCAATCGTGGCCTGACGAATGCATCTCGCATGGAACAGACTGTCGCCTCTAAGAGTTGACTTTTATGTTCACTTTTATATTTATATATTCAAAATCTTAGCTGATGATTGTTTTAAGTATATTGAGCGTATTTAATACGGTAATGAACTCCGGAAACATCTTTAAAAAATGGGCGAATTTTCATTTCAGAGACATGAAGTGAGTGCAGTCTCCTTAAACTCATACCCACGACCTCATTCTTTTGAGATTCCTCTGTAACCCTTGCTGACCGGAAATTTATTTACCCCCCCGCCATCATTACTTTCCTCAGCACTGAAAAGAATCAAGCATATCTTCATTAACGATCTTGCTGATGTCATAGGTTCCCAAGTAGGGACCTATGCGGACGACACTACTATTTACTCCTGTTTCTATGGTACCAAGACTTTATGAATTTAACCATTAATGGCAATTTTTGATCATTTTACAGTTGAAACAGTTAGATTCAGCCATAAGTTCTATGCTAACAGTTTATCTTTTCGCATTTCTTGCCTGTGGAACTCTCTTCCGGCATCTTGATTTCCAGTCAACTTTGATCTTCAAAAATGTAAATGCAATAATTACTCTCTTCTTAATTCCGCTTTTTTATTGTTTTCGCTCCATAATGTTTTCTTTTTCTAATTCTTTCTCACTCAATTATCCGTTATATATTAGCGGATTTATTACCTTGCTTGATATGAAAACATTAAAAAGAAGTATTAGTAATTTGTATTCGAATAGAAATACAATGGAGTACATTTGGTGCGGAAATGAAAAATTAAAGATAAGGAGACGAATTTTAGTATTAATTATAGATGGGTATCCTTTATTTATTTACTTTTCGTTATTCTAAAGTTCATGCTCAAGAGCCACTCATGGTAGTGTGTTACTGAATAAACTGAGGGATATGAGCGAAAGAGATAAGGAGGGTGTATCCTAAAATGAATAATATTTAGATCTACTAAAAGCCATTTTTTTAAAAGTAAATGTTACGTACAGTGAAAATAAATAATATTTAGCATTACAGTGGAATCATATATATTTATTTTTATATATATATATATATATATATATATATATATATATATATATATATATATATATATATTCCTATTGGAAACAAACATTCACTTTTGATTTAGTAGGACTCTCAGTTAAGTCCGGATGCAATTTTTTTACTGTTATATATATATATATATATATATATATATATATATATATATATATATATATATATAAAAGTGAACTTAGAAATCAACAATTAGAGGCGACAGTCAGTTTTATGCTAAACGCAATGTTCACTTTTATATTTACACATGCTCTATCTCTGATATTGAGCACTTTATCCCATAAATATAACACATCCTAAGACTATATTTCTTCATGTATATATATATATATATATATATATATATATATATATATATATATATATATGTATGTTTGTGTGTCTGTGTATACATACATACACACAAAAAAACACACATACACGCACATACACACACACACACACACACACACAGATATATATATATATATATATATATATATATATATATATATATATATATATATATATATGAACCTGTATTTACTGCTTCATCGTTTTAAGAAGATTTCAGGGCGAATCTTTTCGAATATTGGGAGGTGCTTGTTATCATCGTCGTCATCACGTTCGTGTAGTTCCCGCCGTTTCATTGAACACGTGATTACCAATCAAGTGTTAAGGCTAGCGACTTGTCGCTTTCCTTAGCCCTGTGACATTGGCAGTTAGAAAATTAGGGGGATTTTTGAGGCAGTAAAGAAAAGCCGTGCACCTGACAGATATGCACCTGACATGACATAAGCACGGCGCGCCAATCACAAGGAATTCGTCTAACTTGGTATTTTTTTTTTTTTAGAATTTCTTGCATTTTATTTTTTTCAGCATTTCTTGCATTTTATTTTTTTCAGCATTTCTTGCATTTTATTTTTTTCAGCATTTCTTGCATTTTATTTTATTTTTTTTCTATTTTCAATTATTTTCTTTTTTTTTTTGGCCTCCAATTCATTTTTTTTCTTTTTTTATTCATTTATATTTTTGATTTTATTTCCTTTTTATCTATCCTTTCCCTTCTTACTTTCGCTTTCTCATCCTATCTTTATCTCTCTTACTTTTCTCTCTCTCTCTCTCTATCTCTCTCTCTCTCTCTCTCTCGGACTTTCAGTCACGGTCTCTCTCTCTCTCTTATATATATATATATATTTGTGTATGTGTATTTTGTATATATATATATATATATATATATATATATATATATATATATATATATATATATATATATGTGTGTGTGTGTGTGTGTGTGTCTGTGTTTGTGTGTAAACATATAAATATATATAAATATATATATATATATATATATATATATATATATATATATATATATATTTCGATTTTGTATATTTACGTGTTTATTCTTATTTTTTTTTTATTTATAGATTTCTTTTCTGATTCCATTTAATTTTTTTTTTTTTATTTCTCTTCAGGAACAGAAGCCAAATTATTTTTCTTTCTTTTCTTTCTTCCTTTATTATGAATCCACAACTGTTCTTGTAGTTTTTGTCTGTAGGTTTTCTTGTTGATTTCCTCTTTCTTTCTTTTTATTCAGGTACAGAAAATGCGTTATTTTTCTTTTTGTCTTTCTTTTTTTTTCTCTCTCTATTTGTTTGACTTTCTTTCTTTTCATGAATCCACTCACTGTTCTTGTGGGACATTTTTCTTTCTTTTCGTGATCCTGATCACTGTTCATGTTGGTTTTCTTTCTCTCTTTCTTTCATTCTTTCTCTTCATGAAAATACTCACTGTTCTTGTAAGTTTTTTCTTTCTTTTTTTTCATGTACTCTCTCAGTGTTCTTGTGTGTTTTCATTCTTTCTTTCTTTCTTTCTTTCTTTCTTTCTTTCTTTCTTTCTTTTCCTGAACCCACTCAGTATTCTTGTAGGATTTCTTTTTTCCTCTCATTCTTTCTTTTCATTGGCTCTCTCACTTTTCTTGTACGCATTCCATTTCGTTTCCCTCTGGCCTTTTTTTTATCATTTAAAAACTGTAAACCAAATGACCACGATCGGCCATAACCCGATTGCCTTATAATCAGTTACTGATAAATCAATGAAAAGAAAAAGATTTACGTCTGAAGTCAAACTATCTTATTCATATTCTCAAAAAGCGCTCATCTGCCACTACAGACGTCAAGTTCATACAATAAAAAGCCTCCTCAGCAAAATAATCTGAGGAAAGATTTCAAATTCACCTGTCCATGTCAAAATATATAAAGGCTGACCCATAAATAGCTCACACTTTTTTCTTTCTGGACGAATGATTCGCAGAGAAGAATAAAAGAATTTTGTAATACAATAAAAACGAGCAATAGTCGAATAAGGGAATGAAAGGATTGAGTACAGTGAATACAAGATGAGGTAATAGGAATTTTTTTTCTGAATTAGTTCACCCTAAGCAAGGCGATAATACCATTAAGGCGAAAGGGACAACCGTGAATGAAAGAAAATTAAAAGGCTTTACAAGGATCTGGAAACCCAATCGCAAACAAAAAACAAAGGATAAACTTCTATTCTTGTTCTGCTCAAATACCAGGGACTGTTGGAATTTTTGGGTACCCTGGTGTACTAATGAGCCAGCCAAAATGAGCTGACTCATTTTATAGTTCACCAATAAAAGGGTTAACCAATCAGAAAGCTCAAAATATTCAATGCGACGTGTATAAAGGCGGCCATGTTTTTCCCGAATATTCACTGCCAGTCTTTGATATCGAAAACTGAAGAATTACGGAACAGCTGCTGGTGGTATTGGCGATATAGTCAGATTCAGTAGAGTGTCTGACTCGTGAGTGTTAATCTTTAACGTTGTTTCCTTGAACAGATTACGTACTGCGCTGTATTCTATATTCATAGACCATGGTGAACATAGTTAACAGGGAGGACTGTGAACCGGACGATAAACGAATCTATCTTATTCTATTGAGAAAATAAATGGTGAATTAAAATTTCAATTCTTGGGCAGAGTTGAAGTATACTTTAGAATGAACCGGAAACTCACTACTTAACAGGAAGTAAAGGATAAACTCCTGTTCAAAAGATCATTTCTTGTCCTGCTCAAAAGACGAGGGAGGAATGTGGACCGGACGACAGGCGAACCTATCTTTACCTATTGAGAAAAAAATTAGTAACTAAAATGTCAGTGTTTTGGCTGGAGACGTTAGAATTATAGCCGGGAAGTAGGCTCTATAAAGACCCGGAAAGCCATTACCAAACAAGAAATAATTGATAAACCTCTACAACCGTTAAAAAAGACGGGAAAAAGTGTGAAACGGGCGACAGACAAACTTATTTGTAATGGTAATAAAGGGTGTTTCATTAAGACGGATGAAAGTAAATAAATCAGTGTTATTGGTGAAAATTTGATCATGCTATTTAAGTCCTGGCAATTATGTGTTAAAAATAATATCGCCCATATGTGAGCCAATACTTCGGCGGCACACATCCACTCGATGGTCAAAACTGCATAATTGCTCCTCGATCTCAGCAATATGCCTTTTGATCTAATCCTTCAGCTGTTAAATAGTTGTTAGCTTTTTGACATAGACCTTACTTTTTGAGATGACCCTAAAGGAAGAAATCTAAAGGCGTCATGTCAGATGATCGTGGTGGCCAATTGACTTCGCTGTTTCGAGAGATGATGCGACCTGGGAAGTTTTCATTCAAATTCTGTTTGAACGTCCAATTTCATAATAGGCTTCGATAACCTTAACACGTTGTTTGAGTGTTAATCTTTCAGTGGTTGAAATTGCCAGACTTAAGTTGTTAAATCTGAAAGAAAAAGAAAAAAAAATAGACGCTTAAACTTAATTCACATTTAAAATCGGGCCAATGGATTAGAACACCCTATATTAGCCATCTCCTTCACTTAGGTGAATTTAAAACAACAGATGTTCCTTAGACAACGATTGATGCCAATTATGAAATTTATCTCATTTTTTTGTCTACGTGCAGTGTCCATTTAGCACGTGGACGATTATGGCTGTCCACGGTTTCCTCTAATTTATAGTTCTTAATAATTGTCTTTTTACGAGTCGTTCCAATCTTTATTCGGTCATCTATTTAAACAAGCTCGTTAGGTAAGTTTCTCGCTGCTTCCGTCTAACTTTCATTATGTCCTTCATTATATCCTATGAGTGTCAAATTTTCCCAGTCTTCTTTCCTCATAATGTCTCTTTTTGGTTATAATTACTATTTTACCATTTTTCTTCAAACTTCCGCGCTGGTTACATGGTTCGTCCATGGTGATCGCAGTATTCTTTTGTCGAAACCAGATTTCAGTTACCTCAAGTCTTCTCTTCATCTGTGAGAAAATTGTCTAGCATTCGGTGCCATACAAGAGGATTGATATAACATAGCTGTTCAGCACTCTTTCTTTTTTTTTCTGTTTCGGTCTTGGGAGACATCTTTTGCTATTTGAGAGTGCCTTCGGATTTCTGTGCCATATTACCCGTCAGTTATATTGGGACGCGTGGACGAGTGGTTAGAACATTCGATTTCTGACCATGAGGCCATGGTCGATTTGTCAGGAAGGGACTTGCTTATGTTATCGGTCTGGAGCGGGTACGATCCCAGCGTGCGGTACCTTTGGAAAGTGCCTGAAAACCATACCACGGGTTAACCCAAGACTTGTAAGCGAATTAAGTAGACGGATAGCTGTGCTCGCGTGAAGTCAAAAATCAACGTGACCGAGGGTTTGACTGTGCTGGACTTGTTCAAATTGTTGAACTCGCTCTCTCTCAGAAACTGTAACTACGGTCTGCTCAGCGTAGTTGCAGTATAAACCACAGTTTGGCTCTGTGGGTGTTGAGCAAAGACAAATGTACCTGAGCGAGCGTCTGCAATAAGGATTGGCTGGCCGCCCTAATAGACGGGTATCCTCAAATACGAGTGGGCAGCTATATATATATATATATATATATATAGATAGATAGATAGATAGATAGATAGATAGATAGATAGATAGATAGATGGGTGCGTTCTGACCATGAAACCTTGGTTCGAATTTCACCATGGCTGATTTGTCAGGAAGGGACTTCCGGATTTTATTGGTCTGGAGCGGGGACGATTGCACCGTCCGACACCTTTGGAAATTGCCTGCAATCCATACAACTGATTATGTAAGTGAAACTGGGTAGACGGAACACTTATTGCCGTCGATAGCTGTGCTAGCACGATGTAGCAAGTCATCGTGACCGAGGCTTTGAGTGTGCTGGTGGTGTTCAGATTGTTCATCGTTCTAGACAACACGCTCTCTCCCAGAAATTGTAACTAAGGTCTGCTCAGCCTAGTTGCAATGTAAACCACAGGATGGATTTGTGGGTGTTGGACAAACACAAATATTCCTGAGCGTGAGCCTGCAATAGGGATTGGTTAGCCGACATACTAGTCGAGCATCCTCGAATACGAGTGGCCAGCTATTATATATATATATATATATATATATATATATATATATATAAACTTTCCAGGTATTTAATCTTCTGTATTTGTTTGATTTCGACGTCTCTAAATTATAATTCACACCTTGGGACACTCTGCTGTCAACCAGACAATGGTAATTACATATCAAAAATCGGAGGAATTTAATTCGGTCTCCGACTTTTAATATATTTAGCTTTCTGGTTCATTCTTATTTTCCTTAAAAAATCTCTTATTGAAGAATCTGAACTATTTTTGATAGTGTTTGAAATTATGTTATAATATCTATTCAGTTCGTTAAACCAACGTCTGGGAAGATTGTAATAAGTCGATTTTTTTTGTAGCCCCATATTCAAGTACTGGATGAATAACTATAGCTCAAGGAATTTGCAGTCTTCATGAGTAAGTTTCGTAAAGCGAAGTTTTTCCATTCCTTTTTTTCGATTAGCCTCTCTTTACGGTTTCAGAAATATGTGATGTTGGAGATAAATGGCATGAAACTGGATTACCCGAGTTAATTTCTTCTTTTACTTGATTAAGGTAAAATCAATCTAGTGTGGAAATGTATTTCAACTTGTCACTGAGCTTCATCACAACAAACTTCCCGCACTAAATTTAGATGTCATAATGATCTCCAAGATGAAAGTGAATTTAAATCATCTTGAAATAATGAGCAGTCTTCTTTGTCACTGATGCAACATTATAGTTTAGTGCAATAGAGGAATGCTTTGATCCGACTTTTACACGAATACCCACTTGCTTCAGTTGGAAAAGTGTTTCATGGGGCACGGTGTCAAATGTTTGGCAAAGTCATGATTCGCCATTTAGAATTTTCTGTCTACATTCTTGGATAATTAAAATAGACGCTCTTACGTTAGCTGAAAGGGAATTTTATCGTTGCAACTTTATTTCGAGGGCACAAGTTAAAAAAAATTACATTTCTATGAATCGCTGAAATGCCTTTGGGATAAAAGATGGATTGGGAAATAGTGAGTAGGATAACGGTCTAAAAACTTCTAAGCAAGCGCTTTCTTCTAGGCATTTTTGAAATCCAGAATTCTATTATGTTGGATTGCTCGAAAGTCCTCGGTCTGAGATTATATCTTTGTCTGTCTGCCTTTGTTCGTTTCCTTTCGTTTCCTTTCCTCTCTCTCTTTCTCTCTCTCTCTCTCTCTCTCTATCTATCTATCTATCTATATATATATATATATATATATATATATATATATTACACCCTTGTGCAAATTAATTGAAACAAAACGAATAATTTCATTTTTACTTTTTTTTTTCCAATGAAAAATGACACAATGCACATGTTAGTACTTCGAATGTCTATTCCACCAAGCTATTTCTTGCCGAGTCACCACAGATTCTCAATTTGATTTAAATCAGGAGGGTTTCCATGCCAGTTGATAGTACTTTGATTTGCTCACTAGTAAGGATTACGCTTACTTGGAGTAACGTCCATCACAGACAATGGCCGTAGGACAACCAATCAACAGTCGAGACAATAGTGTTTCGGCGTGATAAAAATCTTATGCAATCACGGATGATGCAATACTTTTGAAGGCCAAACAAATTTCATCCTACACGCCGAAAATAGATTCATATTACTGC